TTTGGTTTTTCTCCGGTACCGGGAACCGAACTCACGACCTTGCACATGCCAGGCAGGCGCTTTTGCCGCTGAGCTAAATCCCCAGCCCCTAGTTCAATCTTTAGAATTCACTTGAGAGGAGCTGGGCCTGGTGGCGCACACCTGTGATCCCAGTACTCAGGAGGCTGAGGCAGGAGGATCGCCACAAGTCTGAGGCCAGCCTGGGCTCCACAGTGAGTTCAGGGCCACACTGGACTACATAGCAAGACCCTGTCTCCAAAGGGGGGAAAAAAAAAATTCAGTTGGGTACACACAGTGATCCAGCGTTTTTTCTAAAAGCTGGATATAAATATGAATAAGTTCTTGCTCACCCTTTAGGAGCTCACACCCCAGAGCAGTTCTGTGGTTCAGAGCAGGGAGAACCTCCCTTATGTTTCTTACTAGAAAGTCACCTCAGAGGTCCTCAGAGGGACACAGCAGTGGCCACACAGGTCACAAGCCCACTGGCCTCATTACCCAGAGGCCTGGGTGAAGAGTTCCCCCCACTTTTTAAAAATGACCCATTTCCTATGGGTTCTGGCCAGTCCTGCAGGATTCTCAGCCTACCTGGGTGTCACCTGGGAACTGCAGGTCCCCTGACCACAGGGACTCAGATGGGAGGTCTTAGGTAAACTCTGGAGACCCCTGAATGTCCCGATGCAGGGCCTGTGCCACGTGGAGGGTGGTTATCCTGGCATTGCCAGGCCCCCAGATCCAGGGCCCATGGCTCTTCCTGGGCTTGGGTGTCTACTCTGTGTGGCTGAGGGTCCAGCACTGAGCTCTCAGACCAGGGAGTGAGGGATAGAAGGTCCTCTTCTGTGGCCGACTGTCACCCAGCTGCTAGCAGGAGAGGAAATCTTAGTGCCCGTCTCCCTTGGGGGCAGGGCCCAGGGAGAGGTCACAACCACCCGGTGACTTTGCCCCACGTCCCCATAGCGGAGGCCCCACCACTGGCCCGCCATGAAGTTCCGCAACCACCCCAACCACGCCACCTACACGGAGGTGGAGCCTGCGGGCCTCGAGAAGGAGGGCTTCGTGGAGGCCGAGCAGTGTTGAGGGCCACGAGCAACAACTGGGACGGCAAAGAAGACCGGAAGCGACTTTCCCCGGCTTCCTGCAAGCTTCACTGTGGCCAGGAAGAAGGGACAGGGACGGTGGCTTCAGATGCTGGGGCCGCAGCTCGGCCCTCACACCCCACTAAGGAGCGGGTGGGAAAGCAGCCCTGTGGTGGAGCTTTGAAAGAACAAGAGTCCGCTCCTGCCGACCTTTGGCCTCTGTGCGGGGCTCCTGCCCTGCACCCCAATGTGCGACCCGGCCTAGCTAAAGTCTAGGTTGGGGTCCCAGGGCCTGTGGGCTCCAGAGCTGGTCCTCTGCACAGCCCAACCAACCTTGTCCTCTTACCCCGGTGACGACGGGAGCCTGGCACCTCCAAGACAGAGCCTGGTCTTTGACGACAAACAGGGTCCAGGACTCCGTGAGCCCCGCCCCTGCCCCTGCTCGGAGACAGTGGGGACAGGGAGCAGGGACTCTGTACAAGGTCTTGACCTGGACAGCGGCTGCAGGCAGCGCTGCGGGGTGGGAGCTCGAGCTGCCACACTTAGCCCCTGTCCCCTGAGGACCCGGGCTGCCTCTGAAGCACACTGGGCTGAAAATCTAGAGCTCGGCCTCCTTCGGGTAAAAAGCCTCAGCCACAAATAAACATGAAGCCAGTCTTCGCTCGTCACGGGCTTGGTGGAGGTGGCGAGGGGTGGGACAGGCAGCATGTGACACGCACACAGCCAGAGCTCCAGAGTCTGCGGCGAGGATACTGATGACCCATGCACAGTGGGACACAGGCTGAGCCCTGCTCTCTTCCAAACCACAGGAGAGAGCTGCAGGGCGAGTGTGTGTGTGTGTGTGACAGAGAGAGAGAGAGAGGGAGGGAGAGAGAGAGAGAGAATTTGCAGGAGAGAAAAGGCCGTGCGTCACTGGCAGACTCTTTGCAAAGCTTTGTAAGACAGGGAGGTCTGCATCGGTTCTTGGGCAAGGGACCTGGCACTGTAATCCCAGCACTGAGGGAGGCTGAGGCAGAAGGATTGCAAATTAGCACCCCACCAGGGAAATTTATTGAGACATTTATTGAGATGTCAAAATTTTAAAAAGGGGAGGAGCTGGGAGTGTAGTTCAGTGGTAGACTACCCCTAGGTTCTGGCACCAGGACTAAAAAAAGTGTGCCCTAGCACCCGGATGTCCCAGCCATCTGTACTCATGCCTGGCCAGCATAGCATCTGCGGCCACTGTGGTCTACACAGCCAGGGCAGACGCTCCTGCTGTGGGCCAGGGCCATGGAGAGCGCCACTTGTCCCCTCCCAAACTCCACCATGTGTCTTCCCAGCCAGCCTGACCAGTCTTCAGGATTCCAGGAGAAAGGGGCAGGGACGCCAGGAGACCTCTGCCAACCACCGCAGGTGGAGAGAGTTTGGGAGCTGGGTGTGATGGCCCTCACCTGTCATCCCGCCATTCGGGATGCTGAGGCAGGAGGATCTCTGTGAGTCTAAGGCAAGCCTGGGCTACACAGCGAGACCCTGACTCAGAAAAACCAACAGAAGGAGAAAAAGGAAAGAAAATACAGTTGAAGATGTGTTGGCCTCAGTCTGAGCAAGCTCGGCTGACTGCTGGAACATCGTGACCGCCACAGGAGCGGAACGGTTTGGCAGCAGGCGGCTGGTTTATTTACAGCAAAAAGAACTAAAGCTGTGTCACCAAGAGGCCTCTGGACACGACCGGCCTGGGTTTCTCAAGCCGGAGCACTTGGACTCAGTGCCGAGCACCCCCCAGGGTGTGGGGTCCCAGGCTCCCTGGCACACAGACCTGGGAGCTGACCCCGGCCTCACAGCAGGTTTGCTGGGGAGGTCGAGGGTGCCTGCTTTGAAGGTGAGTGACCGGATGGAGATACGGGTGTCAGGGCCGACTCTGAGCCTGGCTAACTGGCCAAGAGGCAACACAGCACCTCATACGGTGCACCGCTCACCAGGCTTCCCGGCCTTCCCACCCCGAGCATCCCAGTTCCAGGGCAGGTGGTGGCTGGGAGCTTCTTCCCCACGTGGGGCCTCTAGGCATGGGGGCCGTGAGAGTCCCTCACTCAGTGGGAACGGGACCGGAAGTGGTCTATGCTGATCAGGGAGTACAGAGGCCTTAGGAAGGCTGGTTTGTCCCAGGACTCTTAAGAGAGGGAACCAAACCAGGTGTGGTGGCACATGCCTGTCATCCCAGCGCTCAGGAGGCTGAGGCAGAAGGATCGCTGTGAGTCTGAGACCAGTCCTGGCTACATAGTAAGACCCTGTCTCAAAAAGAAAAAGGGGGGACCAAGAGACGTGAGAATGAAGAGGAATTCAGAGGCTGAGACGGGGACACGGAATGAGGCTGTAATTACACTCTGGTCTCCTCCACTCACCCTTTCCCAGACTTGTGTCCCGGCCTCCTGCGATGTCTGATTCTAGAATACATGGCACGGGCCCAGACGCCCACCCCGAAGTCCAGGCGTGCCCTGGGCACAGCGGACGGACTGGTGCTCCACAGGAAGCCTCGTGGGTGGGCACCTTCCTCGGGCCATGATCGGGTGTCATCTCTGGGCCCCCTGTGGCTCTGGAAGCCACTTGTTCCAGTTTGGGGCTGGTGCCTGAGGTCAGAACCTCCTTTGGTCACTTCACCGGCTCCTCAACGGCCTGTGGAAAAAATTCTGTAGGTTTGTGTTTTTACCAGGGCTCCCGTGTGCGTGCGTAGTTCACTGCTAAGTGTTGGATAAGGCTCGAGCTATGCTCCGCCTTTAGCTTCATTACAAAGTTAAAAACAGTAGCAAAAGCTGCTGCCAACCAACTGTCCCAGAAGCAGAAATGCCACTTGTGGGGACCGTCCTCTGGCTGTGGACAGGGCTAAGCCTCCTTCCCGGGTCCCGGTGCAGACGCCAACGGCATGAAGCAGCACCCCGGGCATACCCTTCTCCCTGCCTTCGAGGGCCCGCCCTCAGAGAGCCAGTGTCACAGATAAAACGCAGCGCCCCCCATGCCAGCTTGGACTGAGCACATCTAGGACTGGGGACTGAAGGTACCCTCGCTGTATGTCCTAAATGCAATGTATTCATGCGCTTCACGTGTGCAAAATAAAATGCAGAGCTGGGTGTGGTGGCGCACACACATAATCCTAACACTCAGGAGGCTGAGGCAGGAAGCTCACCGTAAGTTGGGGGTCAGCCTGGGCTATGTAGTGAAAGTCTATCTCAAAAAAGCAATAATAATAATAATAATAATAATAATAATGTAAAATAAAATGCAAAGGATTTGGGGGGTGTGCACACCATGATCTATAACTGCTCTCCCAGACGCTGGGGCCCTCCTGCCCCGGGCACAGCAGCGTCTGCCGTTGGCTTGGGTTGAGCGTGCCGGTCCTGCAAGGCAGCCTTGTGTTTGTCTAATCCGCTATCTAGAGATGCAAAATAAATCACGCAAGCCCGTGCTGTCGTGTTCCTGGATGCTTCACGTTTGCACGACGTCAACAGCCTCGGTGTGTTTTTATCACTTGGTGGTGTTTTGCTCACAAAATAGGTTTAGCAAACCAAAACAGAGAGGAAAAATTTGAACTCCTCACAGCCAAAATCAGCGATGCCAAATTTCAAGCTCCAAACACGCCAGTTTCTAAATAAACACGCGGCGTTGGCCAAATAAAGAGGAATGTGCCGGGAGAGGGGAGGCAGCCAGGCAGGGAAGGGGCGGAGCCTTGGGAGCGGGGCGGGAGACCCCGCCGTTTCCGCCTGCGTGAACGATGGTGCAAACTGGGGGGTGGCAGGACTCAGGAGGTGGCCAGGGTGAAGGCTGGAGAGAGAAGCGGGGGCTTGCCGGCCTGGGAGCCCATTTTGGGGGTTAGATCAGAGGTACCAGGTGACCTCAGAAACGACTGGGAAAAAAGGAGGGCACCTGGGAACTGCTTTCTGGGACCGGATCCACCTTCTGAGTTAAATGAGCCCGGGACCAGGATGCCCAGGTCTAAACACAATGAGAAAAGGTCACCGGGTGTTGTGCTTTATACACATTAAATCCGGCACATGCGCAGTGGTCTACCGCATCCTTTGGTGACCCCCACCCTAATTAGCATGTCACTGACTGTGCAGATTTGGGCGCCATGACAGTTCTCCAAGGGCAGTAAAAGGTCAAAAAACACCAACAATCAGGGGCGCTGAGTCAAGCCTCAGCCCCAAGCCTCTGCTCCACCCCAAACCGTAAGGTTTAGAACCCTCAGCACCAAGGCCCCTGAGACCATGCGCTCTTCCCTGAGGAGGGGATCTTGGCTTTTCTCTTTCAAATAAATCACCGATCTGCTGCAGGTCTTGGGGTCCTGCTCAATTCGTTGGTTAGGACCTCAGAAACTTGGACCGGACCCCAAGCTGGTAACAGGAGCCTCCAAAATACCTCGCACAAACAAAGTGGTAGGAAATTAACAATGCTTGTTGTATTACATATTGAGATCTTCAAAGTGGTTTCTCATGAAAACAAGTAGAGACATGCAATTTTGATCAATCAAGGACTCATTGACAGTTTCAGCAAAGAAATGGAAGACAGTAGAACAACTATGTTAACTATCCTGTGTATACATACATACAAAATTTCTCCACTCTGTATTGTCTGTACTGTTCTTTTGCTATTTTGTAAACGGTTGTCTGTTACTTTTCCTCCTTTTATTTAAAAAAAAAAATTAAAACAAAAACAAAAACAAAATACCTCACACAGCAACCCTGGCCGGAGCACCCGCCCTCTGCCATTCATTCCCCGGACGAGCGGCATTGCAGACAGGATGGCCACGTGCTGTGGGTGCCCAGGACTTTCTAAGCCCTCGGGGCCACACTGTCCTCGGAGAGGCTGTCTCATCTGTCCGCTGGCCAAGTGAAGCTAAGCGTGCCCAGCGCATGATGGCAGCCTGGCTCTTCCTTCCCAGTGAGGAAAGAGGCCTCCACCTGCGTGTCTGTCGTTCATCTGTGCGTCTGCACTAGGCACCGTTGGCGTGTGGCTCCCCTGAGGCCGCCGGCTGGGGTGGGGCCGAGACAGCCCCGACCCAGCGTCTCACATTCCTCAGTGCTTGGAACCAGGCGGCGCTCAGCAAGTGCTCCAAGGCCTCGGTGGCGTCTTCGTCACTTGCTTCTGACACGACGCACCTTCCCGTCAGCTCAGTCTGAGGACAGACATGCCATCTCCACCAGGAGGCCATGGCTTCGGAGGCTGAGGTCCTGCGTCTGCTGCCTGTCTGAATACGGGGCAAAAACGCGTAAATTAGCCGGGCGTGGTGGCACACCTGTCACTCCAGCACTTGGGAGGCTGAGGCAAGAGGATCACCCCAAGTTCGAGGCCAGCCTGGGCTGCATAGTGAGACCCTATCTCAATAAGCCAAACCGGAACCAAAACCAAAAACCTGATGCGGCTTTGGGTCCACAGCTGCAGCAAGTGCCTGCATTTCATTCCTGGTGAGGCTCCCGCGCTGGAACGTGCTTCTCCGCCCGCCCAGCAGACAGGTTCCCGTCCGGCGCTGGCAGAATGCTGTGTCTTCAGAAGCCGGCACAAAGATGAGCTCCTGGCCTGGCTCTCACTGCTGCCCTCAGCTGCTGGGGTGGGGTGGGGTGCGGTGGGGCGCTGAGCTGGTGCAGGCTCAGGGGCCTCTGGGACGCCCCTGCATTCCCTGTGCTCACCTC